TCCAAAATCTGGGGTGTTAGAAGGTCACTTAAGTTCAACTCACTTCTATTTAGATTTTTTCCTGATAACCTGTGTCACAAGTGATAGAAAAAATCAAAGTGACAAGTGTTCCACCACGCATCTAGAACAATGGAGAATGCACTATCAAGAATTTTCTGGAGTGACCTCATGATGGGCATATTCTGGCATTTGTTATACTGAAGCAGTTTCCATGAGACGTGGAGTTATATACATTTGCTTAGCATGTTTTCTAAGACAATTTGCAAAGAAGATGGAATGTGGCGCAACTTTTTGTTAATAAATGATTCACTATTTTAGAAAAATAGTGGCTGATGGTCGCAAATCTAAATGCAAAACGGTAAGTCTGGTTAAAAACAGGGTAGAAAAATTTGCTTATATTTGTGATGATTACTACCAGTTTCATTTTGTGGACTTCAATAATCGAAGCAGCGTGTAATTGTGTTCACCCATTTATGGTTTCAATAGCGTTTCATTTTAATGTGATTTTAATTACGCTTTTGCACGTATGCCAAATTTAAAATTGTTTGAATTCCTTAGAAAGTAGTTGAAATCATAATCCTTGTTTTTAGAGAACATTTCTAGTTACTTCTCCTTTTCTAATTCTTATCAATGTAGTTTCTTTGTTACCAATTGCATTCTGTATTTATATTTTCATTTAATTTATTGCAATTATTTATTTTAATTTTTTGTCGAATACCAATGTGTTGTTACCGCCCAGAAACACATGTTATTTAGAAAAGACTCATTACAACGAGATTGCGAATGAAAAAAAGATTAGGGCAGTATGTGCACGTCCAGATGGACTCTTTCAAAGTACCAAATTTAATAAGTTTTTCAATAGAAGAGGAAATGCGACATATTTGCAAAGACAAGTTAATTATTAGTGATATTTATATTATTTATTAACGTCGTGGTGACGAAACTGTTTAAAATACAATTCAGACCGGAGTAATAGAAGAAGAAGACAGAATATTAGCCGTTCGAATAAAATAAACATACATTAGACTTTTTCCAAAGAATTCAAAAGAAATATAATTTTCGTCGTAATACAAGTGAACACCTACGAATCCGAGAACCTTTGTAAGTATTTTGAAATTTAACTATACTTCTTTTGAAATAGCCATTAAAATGTTAAACGAATAACCCGAATTATATGCCCCAATTAATTTGCGCAAATAGGAATGTGATCAGATGCGAAGGAAATTAGACGAAAATGGTACTTATATGAATGAAAGTCAGTTGACGACATGATAAAAGGAAAAACGGCAATTGTTTTCTGGAAACTTAAGCTGAAAGGCAGGGAAAACAACGAGATGCCTTTAGATTTGTAGGGCACGTGATGGTAGAAGGAAGCCATGTGGATATGTGTAAAAGTGTGGTATTCCCATAATTAACTCAGATTGCAGTGCTGGCCAAACAAACATTATTGGATATAAATGGAAAATGATAATATATTGGAACCCGTGACTGTTGGGCGCGATGTGTGTAATTGCAGCCACAGTAGTCAACTCAAGGAATGATGATTGCTTTTTTTTAAAAATTGTTGGGAGTATGAAAACGCCAAAAAAAGTGGAGCAGAGGGAACACATTCTAAGTTTCAAATATAGTAAAATGGCTATTGATAAGGGGAGAGGTCTATGCCCCGCCGCTCGTAGTGAATGAGTTTTGGTAATTGGTTATGTGGCAAATCTATATTTGTTTGCTAAGGGTAACAATCTTCGTGTTTTGGGATATGTTCATGTATGTTTGTTTCTAAATGTTTTAGTATTAGCACAGGAGAATTGGCAAGGCAGGCTAAGAGCATGACGATTATAAATAAACTTACGGTTGCACCGATATTGCGGCAGCAACCCCAATTTTGAAAATTGTTGATCGTTTTAATTGGCCGTCGTGGGCGAGAGAACGACAAATTACGTGTCCTGTTCCCAACAATCGATGATAGGCATCGTGTTTCCTGCATAGGATTGGCTGCGCGTACTCGCACCCTAAAATAACATACGTCTTCAAACGATTGCCGGGAATACGGCGTTTTTATTTACTCGTAACTCAGAAAACAAGAATTACGAATCGACAAAAGAAACACTATTAAACATAAATTTAACTAATCACTGAAAAAACACTTATTAATAATGAAAATAAAATGTGCAAATCGAAACATTCGTAAAAGGAAATCCAGAACTTTCAGAAACTGTTGTTTCAATTGAAGTGTGAGGTTTTGAAGGTTCGCCTGTGTTTGGCGTCTCTTCCCCAGATACAATTCTCCTGGCGACTCTAAACCGATTTGCTACTGACTCCTCAATGTATTGTTCTACGACACTAGTTGAATGTCATTCTTATTTTTCTCTTCCATCCAAGTTACAAATTTATCATATTCTTTTTCATACTTTTCAGCTTATTTTCTAGGTATTAGTGACAATTCTACTTTAGCAACTTCATTAATTATTGCATCTGGTAAATCCATTTCACAACGAACAACCCCGGCCGCCCTTATTACGGTGGGGCTTGGCCTACATTATGTAGATAACATACCATTCTACGCCAAGGTTATGTAACCATTTTACCATTGCAATAATTTTATAATGATGTTATACAAAAAATAGCGTATGAAATTCGTTTATAATGTTACACTTTGGCACCCATAAGAACAACATTATACACTAATGGCATAATATATTATTATTTACCGTTCAATACATTTATTTTATTGAACTAGTTTTAGAATCCTGCAGTATCTGTACGATTTTCGATGACAAGAGATTGTGAATAAGGTTGGCATTCAAAAAAATCCTTATGAAACGTTTTTTGATAAAAAATAGTTACGAGTTACAGATAGGAGAAATACAGGAACCATTTTAATTGGCTGCCTAGCGTGGGGCACAGATAGGTACAAATAATTCCACTTTGTATTATTATTATTATTATTATTATTATTATTATTATTATTATTATTATTATTATTATTATTATTATTATTAGGGAAATAAGAAACCGTTTCAGTATTTTAAGAGTTGTTTTCAGATTCAGAATTATTACCGCAGGAATTATCACAATTAACAAATGTAATATCGAATATAGAACTTAGCGTTTACGTTCCAACCTTTTTTTTCCGTCTTTC